TGGCGCGCGCGCGCGCGAGAGAGAGAGAGAGAGAGAGAGAGAGAGAGAGAGAGAGACAGAGCGATCGTGTCGAATATGCCGTTACCCGATGGCGTCGTGCCAATTCGGTTTGCGCGCAACAATCATACGAATTTTCAATCCGCTCGGATCACATCGGCGATCCTTTAAACTGACGGGGCGACGGAAATACGAAATCGTCAATATTTGACCTGCATTAACAACATGCGGATGGCATATCACTTTTGCGTGATGCGCTTTGCGATCTCGCGCCGCGCGTGTCCGCGGCTCGATTCGCGCGGGTGCGACGTTCATCCAGTCGGAATACGGTTGTATTGCACGCCTACATTTAGCCAGTTTGGAAACAAGAGTGACTGTTTAATGGGAGATATTTGACTTGGAAATGTTTCACGGTCTCGTCTCGATTTCCCAAAATTTCTACGCCGCATTTGCGTTGAAACGCGTTTTTCGCGTCGAATGATGAAGCCTTTTGTTCCGCCATTCGCAGAGACGGACGCGAGGTAATTCGTTTCGCAGCGTTTACACTTCAATGACGGACCAGACACGCGAAAATGGATGCCCTTGTTTCAAGAGCGATATATACCTGACATTTATGATACTTCACGTTCAGTATTCGCATCGAGTGCTACAATATACGTGCAATGTCGCAGCATATTAATTATATTTGTTTAATGCTTCCGCTTTGATGTAACGTTGTTATTTGGACAGCTGTCACGTAAAAGGTATCCAAATGTCATTTCAATTTTAATAATTTTGTATCAGATACATTTCGAGAGAAGCCTTGCGTGTTATGATTCTGTCGAGCTTATATAAAACCTTCATGATATTATCATAATTATTTTGAATGTACAGTCGCGATATTTTGTTCATTAATTTAAGATACATTTATTCTGAAAATAACGCGTGCGGATACGATTTATCAGTATTTATATTTATTTACTATTATCTCGTTAACCGATTTTTAGTAGTGCAACAGAGAGCTAGTTTAAGATCATAGCCCTAACATTCACTTCCATTATGGTTGATACATAATTCCGCGGATGACGTCCCCGTAATACTTGATGGCTGTTCACACAGAATCAGTACTGTAAAATTAGTTGCACTGTTCTCTTGTCTCAAAGCAGAGGAACTATCCCTGTTTCATGTGCAGAAAGGTAGGTAAAGGGTCGCGCTTGTCGCGGAACTCAAACTCGAAACTGTCTTCAACTCGACACTTCCGATGAACTTTGACACCGGCATTTTGGAACGCTTCAATAATAACTGCTCTTGTGAATTATCTTCTCATTATTATCTTAAAGCAGACGGTAATTGAGTTAACCCGATTCGATCTTTTGTGTGCCTTTATATGAGATACTTGGCCGCTTCTTCTCTCTCCTGATTTCTTGGTCGAAAGTTTTCCAATTTGTGTTATATTTCAGCACCTTGCTTCTATTATTAGCTCTACTTTACCTTACTGAATGACGGAAAAAGATAATCAATTTTCAAGAAAATCTAAATAATTATTATAACTTTGTGAACGTTGACCGGATCTTATCAGTCTTATTTGGATTGCGTTACGGAACTTGCCTACCGCTTTTTACGTTAATCATTGAGATCGCGTAGTGAACGAGGTCGAAGTTTTTCAACCGGGAAAGAGAATCATGGATTCCGGCGAAGTCCCTGTTCTTATTTGGCGCCTCTCACGAACAGGACACGCTTTCGCACTCAAATTTTGTGCACGTCGCGAACGCGAGCTGCAGCGACCGACTGCTTTAAGGACGAACTCGTGTACGTGTCTTTAGAAAATGAAATTGCTTCCGATTTCGCTCTCGCTTCTCGTGATTTCGCGCCGCGGGAATGGATTAGCCGACTTGGGCCTGCCAGTGAGTTTCGCATGCAGCGAAATCGGCTTAAGTCACAGTGGTAACAGCCGACACCGCCTGGAAATTGCTTTAGACTTTGCAAAATAAATGGCAGGTGAAAACGATGTGACTTAAGAGTTGTCTGTTTTCACTTACAGTCTGTTATATACGGATATTCATCTATGAAATCTGCATTTATATGACATTGCGTTGTTTGCTTTATCAGTTATTCATTGGCCGGTAATTTCTAATCGACGAGAGGTATTTGCAATTCTGCTGATGTGTTATTTATAGGTAATAACAATATAAAAAGAGATTTTTATTTTTCAAATAATTGGCTGATTTTCTTCAGCGTTCATAATCGAAGCCTTTATTAATATTAAATGAGATAGAAAATTAAAAATCTGTTTTCGCCTCAGTGACATAAACAATAAAAAGCTTCTATACATTTTCAGAATTTAGTCTGAATGAAAAATATATATATATGTATTATGTAAATTCTATCAATATAGATTTCTTATTATATCATCGAGGCAAAAACACAGATTATATCACTTACGATTATCTACACAATGTAGATAATGTAATCCGTACTAGCAATAATGATCATAACATTTGTAATAAATTCTCACATCACACTTTTTTATAAATGTTCTCAGCTTTTCTTTAGTCTTTTGAATTTTGAATTTTTATTCTTTTGGATTCATATTCTTTTGATCTGGAGTTGAAATTATTAATTGAATTACAACGTGGTTTTACTGTAACCAAATAAACAACGAAATATTTTACTAAATCGAAACATCCTCTGGTAAAAAAAAAAAAGAAAAATAGTACGTGTATCGTAACAACGAACGGAATGCAGGCTGGAATAACTTCGTTATATGCTACGCCTTGTGTAGTTATGTATTGAAATACGACCGAAGAATCGCAGTTGATTCTGCCGCGTGACTCGTTACACGCGAGTGAACGAAAAAAGAAGAAAAAAAGAAGCGTTATCGCCGGTGCTCCGTTCGCGTGTGGTGTATGCACGTGCAATCGACGAATCAACTGGGCCACGAGATTTCAAAAACGAACGTCAATCAGACGGGTCACCAAACTGTCACCGGGCTAACACAGGTTTACGGTGCCGCCGGTGCCCGGTCGTCGCAGCGCTACTGATCGATTTCTTCGTGCATCAACAACGTGCGCATTTAGGCGAGTAACCCCTATGCACGCAGGCACGAAAAATACACTATCTAAAAAGAAAGAGAGAAAGAGAGAAGAAAGAGGGAGAGGGGCAGAAAATAATCGATTCGCTTTGATGCCCGCCTTTCCTTAGAACCTTCGTACAGAAATGGACTCGACAATATATCGCTGTACATCAGCCAAACGTTAGCGCCGTGGCAAATTGCAAAGTGACTTCCCCGATTCAACATAACGTGTGATAAAGCATTGTGGGCATAAAGGTCGATTACGTGATTTCGATGGAGATACATTGACGTCATTTTGAATACAAATTGGTCGTCGGTCGATCCGCTTACAGACGTAATTTGTATCTGCAAATAGGACGTATCAGAATCACCGATGTCCAGTCCACACGTAATGTTTTATAAAACGTTTGCATCTTTTCTAAATCGTTGAAATTTATTATATTTAATATTTATTTATGCGAGTAACTTTATGTACCTATGATAGAATCAAGTTGTGCTGGGGTATATTTTTATAGATCACAAAATGCGGTCATTCACAGCTTTATGGACGAAGAAAATATTTTCTCTTATACTTGAAATAAACTGTTTTCTTTTTTTTTAACACGGATAATTTATATATATTTATAATATTTTTTTGTTACACGTGGCTTGCGGTACGTGAGGTTGTTATCGCACTATCATCATCATAATCGTACTATATTTATCGAAAAATTATTTTTTTACACGCAACGCATACGTCAAGTATCGCGCGAGGTTTTTTGCAATACAATATTAACTATTTTTAATTTGAATTTCAAAAAACAAAAAAAGAAAAAATTAAAAGAAAGTCATCTTCTTTATGCGGCGTGATCTTGATATCACGTGAGCTCATTTCACTGATTGCGAACTCGCTGGCTCGAGAAAAGTTAATAGTCAGAGAATTTTTAATCAATTTTTGTCGGTAGTCATTTAAGCGCGTTATCTCAGGGGTGGTCTGGCACATTTAAGAAAAGAACCATATACGCATAACCATAGGCGCGTACAGACACACACACTCTCGTACGCTTGCTGACTCGACCCAAGCCGACGCATATGCACGGTCGTTGCTCGATGTTAGGAGCCGGGCCGGGGCGCTCAGTATTCATGGAATATCGTTGCTCGAACGTGGGGAGTTGGTAGGGTACAAATTAGTTTAGCCCCCTTCGTATTTGCGCTGCATCCCTGCCGCGCCAGCAGCAGCAGCAACAGCAACAGCAACGGTACCCGCAGCGACGTATAAAAATGTTCCCGCATGTTATCGAAAGTTTCCGCGTCGTTTTATGCGTCAGACACACCGGCAACACGAATATCCTACATTTTAACTCTCCGATTCAACCACATCCTTTTGCCTTTGCGTCGCGTAGCCCATCGTGTACGTAAGATGCTGCTTAAAAAATTTTTCACCACTGGAACGAAGAATGCGTTGCGAATACAATTCTATCGATAATGCATCTATCCTACAGTGTTAGAGTTTGACAGGATCTTCCACATTTTCGTTAATGCTTTCAATGGATCTTGAAACGTGACATATTTATTAAGAGCAGAGAGAGAGAGAGAGAGAGAGAGAGAGAGAGAGGAGATAAGAGAGAGAGAATGCAAATTCTATTTCCCGCGAACTGTTTGTGAATATAATTCATTCATTTTCATTTGGCATATAGTGCTTTACTGAAAATTTGACTCTGTCGGCAGTTAATAAATTACCGTAACATGTTGAGAGTGCTTTGTATGTATGTGCGCACGGAACGCATACGAAGAAATTAAATGCAATGCCCGCGAACGGAGGCGTATCATTTAATATGTAT